TTCCCAACCAACGAAACAACAAGTATCAGGCTGAGAGCAACAGTTAGCCCAATTTTTAGTGCTTCTGGATTTATCAAACTGAAGCAGCTTCCATTTGCTGTTGTGTTCATGCTTACTGATTCTTCAGCAGGTCTGTTCTCTTGAGTCTCTTGCTTACAAAAACATCTTCTGTTCTTTGTTCTATATGTAATTTTACCACTGACAACATTTAGGCGCCACTATATTTTAATTGTAAGAAGATGACAGCAAACTGAGACAAATTATTATAGTTTCTCCGATTGAATTGTCAATCTAAAGTCAATTAATGGTCCCATATCAAAAATGCTAAACAAGTTCTCATAAAATGACGCATTTATTTATTACTAATTTATGTCGGTTTACATTATTCACAGGTTGAAAAAAGGTGTTTCCGTTTCCGTTTTTGTAACGGTTATCTAACGGAAACCTGAATATCCGCGGACGGAATTGTAACGGGGAACACGTGTATCCGTCATGTTTCAGTTTCTGCGGACAGCTTAAACGCATCCCTTATACTCGCGTTTCCGTCAGGTTTACTCTTGCGGAAACGCTAACTGCCGTCATGTTTCCGCAGCTCGTAAATTCAGAGGATACTCAATTATCCGTTGAGTTTCCGGAACAATGAATGCGGAAACTCAGTTTGACCGGTTTACTTTCTGCAGCCTTCATGTTTCCACAGATTCCGCTTTCGGTGGATTATTCACTGGATTTCCTAAATGTGTTAACTTTCCTTAACCACCCAGTTTCGAATCATATGTTCATTCTATCCGGTATATAAAAAGTGGACGTTTGTGAGACAACCCTGGACCGTTTCATGCATCCACAATGACCCATTTTCGCTGATACACACAAATCAAGCTGAGTCATATTTAGGTGCATTTTTGGTATTAAAGTTTTTATTAAAATAATTCTATCTCCATTTTCATATAATATGTACATATGTATATTAAATATTTTCACAATAAAAAGAGACTCCTTACAATGTATTCCTATTTTCTATATCCAAAACTGTAACTTTTCAATTTCAATAGGCCACTTCCGAGTTCCAAAACCCTCACTTTCAAAATGAGGCGAGGTGCGCAACCTTTCTTGTGAAATGAGTTTTATTTGCACGAGAATGAAAAATGATTTCCATATCAAAGGCTGAGCACTTAACCTCGTTTTGAAACAGAGGCCCTGGGAACTCGGAAATGGCCTATTAAATAATCCTTTTAGAATTGACAAAATTCAAAATTTTTTCCTTGAAATGATTAGATTAACATAATAATTATACAGTCTAACCTCTTCTTATGGACACTTCTATACGACGGACAGTTCGTTTGGTCCCAAAAAAGCCAAAAATCATGCAATCCCTACCTCTGTAATATAGACACCTCTATAAAGCGGACACTTGGTTCTGTCCCTTTAGTGTCCGTATTAAAGAGGTTTGACATTATTATAAGTAACGAGCATTTCCATTCCAAAATAACTCAAAGAAGTAGTTCACGGCAAAATTATTACATAATTTAATAAGAAAAATAATATTATTACAAATGAAAGTCTTACTTAGTTACATGTAAGACTGCATAAAATCCCATTACGAAATCTAAACTGCTGCCTTAATTCTTATTAGCAAGTACCAGTACTTGGTGGATCATCCCCAAAAATTATTGTTTAAGCCTACACAAACTGATGAGAGGTCATTATTGGGGAGTATCAGGCTGATGCCACAACGACGATAGTGATGCAAACAAAACTAGCCATAGGCTTTATATACAAATGTATAAGCCAACATCTCTACACATGTATCTCACTTATTGTCGCCACTCTGCTGTAAGTGCATGGCTACAACTTGGACCTGGCTGTGGCATACAAAGTAGTCTACGAGAATTTGCCTACATCTGAGTTTGAATAGTAATGACAAACTGCACACTTTTAACAAGCGACTCACTTTCACAATGCATCTATCTTACACTCCCTGTTTTATAGTTTTAGGATAATCCATTGACTGTCCTGTAATTTCAGCAATTTTAATGAACACAGTCGAGTAAAGATTGACTTTTAGAATAAAACTCTTATCACCTTTCCAATTACCCTCCCACGCAGGCGTTTTTAGTGGAGTTCGTATTTCTTCCCTCCCCACAAACGCCTGCTCAACGGAAAACAACATTCCTTTCTCATTGCTTTATTTGCGTGGTAAGTGACCAATCAACAATTGTGCAATAAAGTGTTGACAGGCTAAACACGAGTGAACGTGACCCTAGAGTTACCGTTTTCCTTCTTTTCTTTCCTTCACCAGGGTTGTCACTAAGATTTCAAGTTGCCGGGTATTTGTTGTTAGCAGCCGGGTAAGTCGCAAGCAGTCATGGAGCCCCCTCCCCCCCCTCCCCCGAGAAGTTTTTGAAGTGCAACTTCTACCGTTTTGCAAAAGGCATTACCGCCTCCAAAAAGTAATTTTCATCAACAGTAGAGCTATCATTAGCGGGTTTATGATGATCACGTC